TTCTTTCAATGATAATTTCCTTAGGACAAAGAAAACGGACAAAATTTTCGCCCAAAGGGCTCTACTTTCACGAGTTACCCCTTAGGAGACCATAAAAAAATATTGGATTTTCTACTTTTTGGACCAACCCCTATTTCTTTGTTACCCCCTTTCACCCCCTTAGGGGTGGTTGCCACGATTTGCACCAAGCGTTTTGTTGTCCAAAAGTGACCCCTAAGATACCCTGAAATTTGTAGACCTCTAGCTCATCTCCTTCCTCTTACACGGACGACAGACAGACAGACACGAGAGCGGTTGCATAAGCCCGCTTTAATGCTTTTTTAAAAGCAGAAGGGCGGGCTAAAAACTGTACTTGTAACCAGCGAAAATTCGAATCAGGCATGCTTCTCACCCGAAGACGATTAGCACTCTCATGGAGGGCGTCACAACGCGCGTGGCACTTCGGCCGCAGAACGTCCTGAAGGCCTGGACCCAGGAAGATGCGCGACCACCAGGACCCCGTCAGCAGCGGGCCTACCCACAGCGGCCGGTCAGCCTGTACGACAACTTGAAGCAGCAGAACCACGGCGCAAACGGCAATGGTTGCAGCACCGGGACAACGAGGTACAAGAACGCGTTTCAGGTAGCGGAGAATGCTGATGGTGGCTGTTACTTCGATATTTTCATCCCAATATAGCAAGATTAAATAGACATGCTAAGAAAACTAACAGGACACTGTTTAAAAATGGTTGTAAAGGAACAGAGAGACTACAGTCTTTCTGTTACATTCACGGCAAACTCAAACCACCGTTGTGGGCCGATGAAGGACGAATATCACTAGTTTCAAGAGGGTTCAAAAAAAAAAATGTGAAAAAAGAGGAGTGTATTCACGCAGTGTGTCAACAGGTGACTACTATTTTTAACAGTGTAATGTGTGGCACTGGGTGCAAACTGACAAACTGACCATTTATCAGTCTTTATTATCCCTTTGCTGATTAGTAAGAATTCAATGCTGATGTACTGGGTTATATACACTGGAAACGCAAGTGTGTGAATGTCGCACACTTGTAGGTCTGTGAACATTCATTCGTACACTTGCACTGTGAAAAATATCGTCGTAAATTTACAAAATTTTTGTAAACTCGAATTATAATTTAAGTTGTTAATTTACGAGAGCAGATTTTTTACTCGCTAATGGATTCCAAGTCGGTACGTACAGCACGTATTTTTACAATTTGAAATTGTAATTCTTTTAAGAAAAATTAAAGGAAAATTTTCCTGTAAACCTACCTACTATTTTTCTCACTGTAAGGGGGTAAACGTGTGAATTTTCGAGGGAAAAATCAAGTGTACAAATAGTTATTCACACACCTACCAGTGTGTAACATTCACACACTTTCGTTTCCAGTGTACATGGAAAATCGACTGTTCTCAGTTCACATTTTTATAGACTAAACCGCTTATAGACGAACATATGTCAACCCATGCCTAGGCTTTGTGTTATTTTTAGCATGAGAGAATGCAAAAGCAGGAGAAATTAATACTCATCGATGGACCTCTCGACAGCAGCGGTTGTGAGGACGGCGTCCCCCTCGTACGTGGTGGTGCGTCGTCAGTGGGAAACCTCCATGCCGTCACACAGCATGCCCAGCTGACGGAGCGCGCGCGCACGCCGTCGCAAGCCAACTGCCTCAGCACGACGGTGCCGCAGAACATTGCACCGCACGGGTTCGCGTCCCGCCACGCGCCCACACGCTCCTCGCTCCGGCACTCGCGGATGATTGTCCTGACCCGCGACGGCCGAGGTACGTAACGTGAGACAACGCCCGGGGACCTAAAACTCCGGAAAGCATGTAAATACCGTCCCTGGCATCCTTCTCAAATCATTAAACATCCACCTGCAATCATGAAATCATGTGAATCCTGAGAGGACACTTTTGCCTAAATACCACCTCGATGTCATGTGAAATTCGCTGAAATCATGGGTGCTTTTTTAAAAATTTTACAGTGTATAATCTGCCAGCAAATTCCAGCATGAAGCCCTATAAATACTATACGAAATCGTTAAAATCTTGTGAAATAATTGTGTTCCATGTAATCATTGCACAAGCAAAGAAAAATTTGTAACCCTCTCACCAATACCATCCAATACCAATACCAATACCACCCACAGCACAGCTCATCAAAATAAGCGGGCAGATCTTTCAAACGGACGTAGTCTAAAAGTTTTTTTGAGCTAGAAAGCTAAGATTTGGCATGTAGGCGTCCTAATCATCCATCTCGAGGCTCAGGAAGTGCGCTGCGCAAGCCGTTGGCCACCCCCAACGAGCTGTGCAGTGTGCACCCCCTAGACTGGAGGAGGATGAAACAATTTCAATCAAGAATCTATCTTAAAAGCAGATAATACCACACCCAGAAAATGCTTTTCTTTTTAGAAGGCCGTCGGTTTTGTATTTAGGAAATGTTTTCCTCAGCCAGGTATAAAGAAATAAATTCTTTCAGTCTAGGAAGAAATTATTTCAATTTGGCCTCTAATTGCGACCTAAATTTAAGGCAGTTTCCTTGTACGGAAGAAATTTTACTTCATTTAAAGAACGCCGTGTCGTTTTCAGTCCTTGAATCTTTGGTTTTTCGCCTATGATACACGACATCAGAATCTTACTTTGATCTTTACGAAGACTAAATTAATTATGTTTTGCCTTTGATGCTAGGAAAACCGATGATTGTGAAGCGAAGGAAGATATCTCTTTCATACAACGCCATACGTTTCCTATTTTGAGCATAAGGCTGACAGCTTTCTTTCAATGATAATTTCCTTAGGACAAAGAAATGTGCTTTGGGTTACCAGAAAAGGTGCTTGACGCTCGATGTCTGTCGCTGTTAATTAAACAATGTTAAGGGTGGGTCCTAGCGATTTTTTCACTTTACAAGACCCCCCCAAAATCGCCCCCTGCGAACTCAGTGGTATTACCCGCAAGGCTGTGCGACACGCCTGTCGTGCTGCAGGGCATATGTGCAATAAAATTTCCAAGATGGCGGAGGACGATTTTTTGAAGCTTTCTGTTTTTCCTGTTTATTTTACATGGAAGTGTGGTTTTTCAGTGGGGCATTTACTGGCTAGGTTCGTAAACGCCTCTCCACGCCTCTCCTATACCCAAAATCAAGTCCAGAACTGATAATATTTAAATAAAGTGCTATGGTGCTCACCGAGCGAAAGCAGCTTCAAAATAGATCAGATCAGATCAATAATGTTGTTTTCTGATGACAAAATCAAAGTCGTGGTAGGCCAGCTATCTCCGCTTCCCGAATTTCCAGAAACTCGGTCCATCCCCTGCACAACAGCCAAACACAACAGCTTCCAGATCCTCTGAATGATATTAGAGGATCCGTACGGGGGAAACTGGTTACGCACCGGACGGGATTCGAACCCGAGCCGGACCCGGCTTACCATCCAGCCACCACGCACGGAGACCACTGAGCTACCACGACAGGTGACGGCAGCGCTGCTCGCTACGGAACTGCTTCCGCGCAAGGGACGAGAGATAAAAGGTCGCGCAAGGCGTAGTGGTAAGGAAAATCTGTCCTACTAGTAAGGCCAGTGTGTTTAACGTCACCGACTGCATTTAAGGAAATTTCTTAAAATTAAGGAAAAATTTTAAGAAACTATTTAAAGAAAAAAGTGACCTTATTTCAAGGAAATGGTTTTCTGGGTGCAATTTAAGAGTAATGCTGTTCTACCTTTCTCCCAGATTTAGAAATAATTGTGTCCACGTTGTATCGTCGATCACCATATCATTCGTTTACGGCTCGGTTTACGGCTTGCTTACAATCCGGCGTCCTCCCCGTGGATACTTTAGAGGCGGGGGTCCCAGCGATGTGACGGGGGAGTTTCGGGAGGGGGATGGCTGCTGACACCTTACTTAAATATACTTATATTTATTTTTGTTTAATCTCAGTGTAAGTAAGGTAGGTAAGGTATCATGTACGGGGGTTCGGGGTGCGGGCGTTGGCGTATGTGTCGTGTGGCTTGGTTTCGGGATGAGACAGGAGGGCAGGGACGTTGGTCCTACCGATGCTTTTATTTTTAGTTTAAATTCTAAACTCTCAAAATTTTTCTTGCAGAGCAAGTAGGGCCACGTAGGAAACGACGACCAGCGCCAGCACCAGGGACAGCTAAATCAGATGAAGCAAAGAAACTCGAGTGCATAGAAAAACTTAGGTCAGGAGATTATTCTCTTGTTGAAAATGTACAATTACCAACAGATGAAAAGTGGAAAAGTAAAGTCCAAGTGAAGCCAGGAAAAAGTTTGGCAGAGTGGTATTGACAAAGTTGGCGCGCGCACAAAATTTTGTGCAGTGCTTCAAATGTAAATTAGTTAAAATTTGTCAGGTGGGTACGGGCAATACTAAAAATCTTACTGACCACTGTTGCAAACCCGAGAACACCCACGTCTTAGATCCCCTTCCACGGAATGTGAGAAGTACGGTAGCGGGGCTCCTAGCTGCCCTGAGTGCTGAGAATTTCTTGCCATTCACTCTTTGCGAATCAGAGTCGTTCAGAAACTTGGCAGCATATCTGGTCGAAATAGGCTTTAAGCATGGGGTCGTTAAACATGAAGATATCTTGTCCAAAAACGGTAGCCACAAGGCCAAGGCCAAGGCTGACGAGGCTAGAAATGGACTGGTGGAAGAAATTAGAGAGGATTTAGAAAATGGGTTGCTTTCTGGCACAATTGATGGTTGGACAGATGACCAAAAACATAGGAAATATATGGCCCACACAATATCACATATAAGCAAGGATACCTGGGAATTGCAAGACAATTTGTTGTGCCTGCCCCACTGCGATGCTGAGTCCGTCACCCACGAGGTCATTGACGAAATAGTAAAAATTGAAAAAATAAAAATGAACATCGACCCTGGTGAAGGCGGTTAAGAGGTCGCGAAACGCATTGTTCATTTCGGTGGTAAACGAGGAGTGAATCAAGGTGATCCCATTCTCCGAGACAAAACCTAAGGCATCATGGCGTATTAAAATTTGGCAATTGACAGCTGTCTTCCTAACCATTTTTTTCGAGCAAACGAAATGACCCACCCACTTCATGTTGTTCTCAAAGGCAAAATCTAAAGCTTCATTGCGTATTAGCAGTTGCCATCTTAACCATTTTTTTTCGCGCTCGCTTCGCTCGCGAGACATACTTTGGTGGAGTATTACTGATACAATTATAGTGCTAAAGTAATGTAGGGTCTTTGTACAGATACCCCTAGAAGGTAGGCAAACCGCGCCCTCTTTGTAGGTTTCCCCCCTCGCGTTTCTGCGCCCAGCCCGCGCCTGTTGTTTTGGGGGGGTACTTCCTCTGACATTTTACGATTGGACGCCTCCTTGTACGTCTTTATGAGCAACGCGGTCATTTTCGCCGTATTCCGCCGAAAAAAGCACTCTAGCGCCCAAACGGTGCATCATAGAGTCAAACGGACGAAGGCTCTACTTTTACGAGTGACCCCTAAGGAGACCATAAAAAAAATATTTTTTTCCTACTTTTTGGACCAACCCCTATTTCTTTGTTACCCCCTTTCACCCCCATAGGGATGGTTGCTAGGATTTCCACCAGGCGTTTCGTTGTCCAGGAGTGACCCGTAAGATACCCTGAAATTTGTAGACCTCTAGCTCATCTCCTTCCTCGTACACGGACGACGGACGGACGGACACGAGAGCGGTTGCATAAGCCCGCT